TTGTGCATTATAAGTGTTCACAGCTGTGGCACATGGTATTACTGTGACCTAGAATGTATCTTCAAATAGGGTATGGTGTGTGAGTGAAAGAGTTAAACATGCACTTGAGAGCTTTGCCTGTCTAGAAGACTACCAGGGTGTTCCCATATGAGGCAGACACAGGTGTGATTAGGAGGATCAGGATCAGGTTTCTCGGCACCAGACTGGGTTAAGTCGACAGCATATAACTAGCATCTGAAAAATGTAAACAATACATGCATGCACTCACATGTACACACAGATCTGTGTGCCCATATGCATTGACAGTACAGTATATATTTTGATTGTTACATAATAAAAATAATTGCTAAAGTAACACCAAGGGAAGCCACTTCTTAATCCTCACAATGATTCAGGTACAGCCTTGATTTCTCAAATACAGTGACAATGATTAAATATTTACTTGGTTTTTTTTTTTTTCTTCAAAGCTTTTCCTGTTTTTGTTTCCTTTAATTACTACCAAATTACAGTTCTCATCAGGAAATTGTCCACTAAAATTATGAACAATGATTATGGAATTATGAACCCATAAATTCATTTTGTTTTTCAAATTCATGTTTTTGAAGCAAAATAAAATTCAAAAACCAACTAAATTAGTTACCGAAGTTTTTATTTCACAGTACTGACCTGCTAGTGTTTTCAGGGCTTTGAACATACAGTATCTTACAGTCTTCATCAGAAGTCATTATCATTATTTTACGCAGTAAGAGTTTGAGCTGGCCTTTGTGAATGACTTCCTTAATATTCCTTCCTAGTCAGTATTTTGGTCTGATGTTCATAATGTCAGCTTAGGTTGTTTGCTTCCAACATTCATTCAGTCACTTATTCAATTTCTCTTCAGTCTCAGTTTGAATATTTTGTGTGTATATTGCCTGTTTGCTATATTATCATATACTGTACATTAATAACAAGAAAGCCTTCTTATTAATGTTGTGATCTTGATTTCAACCATATCTCTTTGCCTGAAATGTTAATTTCAACATGGGGGATAGTAACATGTAAATAAGATCAGGCTCCACTGCCTGCATGCCCAGGTCCAATAGTATCACACCTGTGTGGAAACATAAATTGAATAAACACAGATCAGTGGTCAGAATGCACAGAGAAATGCTGGAGATGACTGGGTGAAAGGAAAGGAAGCGCACTGGGATGTAGAGATGCGCACAGCCTCCTCACCAGTTTATACACACATACACACACATCAAGCTAAATGGCAGGTTGTGCTTTCCAAGTTCAGTGGGTCACAATCGCCACCCCGTGATCCAGCAGGGTCCCCAATGGCCGGTGTTTATCAGCCCATTTCAGATGAGTTATATTTAGGGCAGCTTGGGCCAGACGCCATTCTCCGTGCTGATTTACTGGGCTGCTGGGAGCGTTGCTCTACCTTATCCGGTTTCCACAGTCAACCCAGTGTAATTTGTCAGGATATGGCTTGCGGAGCTATAAACCTGTGTGTATGTGCATGTGTGCACGTGCGTTTGGCATTAAGTTCTGTCAGTAATAGCTCCTGATTCCTCCTGCTCTTTCTTCCTCTCTCAATCTCAGACACACCCAGGTGTATGCCTGGACACACACACACACATACACAGACAAACACCCTCCCTCTCACACACATGGCCTACAACTCAGATAAGAGCACCATTTATTGTGAAATATATTGAGCTATTGTGTGATTCTCCAAGGCAGCAAGCAGCGATTCCTCTTAAAGCTGTAGTAAATCATCTCTGACAAAGAGAGACGATGAAAGACAGGCATTTACACATCCATACATCCCTGGTCTGGACAGCAGGAAGGGTGGAGTCTCTCTGTCTAACGCGGCAGTGATAAATCAACATTTTTCCATCTCTGATGCAGGAAACTAGCACTTTTTTTTTTCTTCTGAAAATACATGTTCTGTCATTGTTTTTGTCTCTTGCTTCAGTCCTTCTCTTTCTCTGTACTTCTCTGTCTGACACGCACACAATTTCCCAGGGATACAGCATGTCCTGCTGTCCTAAAAAGAGTCTATTTCATCTTATCAGCAATAACAGACAGACATGAGCACTACAGGCAGGAGACTAGTTGGTTGCGCAAGTAATAAATATATATAATATGATAAATTAAAAGGAGAAAATACTATAGCCATGATATACAGTAAGGCGAACAAGGGAGCAATTTTGCCAAAATTTAAGACAAACATATTTTATAAAGTAAGTCTTTGCCTGTATCACTAGGTTTTACAGATTTATTTCATTGTTAATCCATGTGGCAACTGCCAGGCTGAGAATCTTTGCAGCTTTTAATGTACAAGCACTGAAGATCATTACTAAGATGATCTGAAATGGATTTTCCCAAACCAGGTCACTGGGATTGCAGTTTTTCTCACACAACATTTATGTGACATGCGCACATGCACACCCTCATATGCATGATGAAAGTTCTTGTAAGAGTGTCCAGTCGAATTTAGAAATTCCAGGAAGCTGATGACTTCCTCTCTCAGTCCACAAACCAAACATTCCCGTCTATCTCCTGTCCTCGATTTCTCCCACAATTCCTCCTCCTCTTCTTGTCCTAAACCCTGATCTACTTCATCTCCCCCCGTTCCTGCTTGTTTTCTCTCTGTGCATTGACGAAAACTCAAATGGATCAAATATTTGACCCACTTGTGGCTCACAGATGCAATTCAACTCAAAAGTCTAATTACGTTACATGTGAATGTGTGAATAAGAATTGAGTATGGTATTGTTTCCTTGATTTTGTGTGTTTGGGTGGGGGGTCTTGCCCTTTCATGAAGTGGTCCTGTGGAAAAGTGCTAGCCAGTGATGAAGAGTGTATTGACTGGTGGACCAGGCGCCTGGCGTATCGATTTTGCAGGAGGGCGATCCTTCAAGGCCTTACTATTGGCACACTGAGTTAATCTGCTCAGTTTAATCAATACTGACTAACTGAAACTATCATTGCACAGCATCTCCTGTCAGCGCTGTGTTTGTCTAGGTTTTATTGGTTTTATGTGCGCTTGTTTGTGTGTTTATGCAGGTTGAAGGGATGGTTTGTAGGTGTGCGACTGGGAAAGCAAAACCAAAGCCTGGCTCCTTGGTGCCTGTAGACGGGGGTGCTTTTTTGTGGAAGTGCTATATGTAGTCTGTGAGTCATGAGCAGTAAAGACTCAGTGCAGCACTGTGAGGTCATATAAACACTATAGCATGCTATTATAAATCTGCAGCTTGAGTTCTAGCCCGCCTGAGGCAAAGTACAGCAACTTGGCAATGTGTTGCCACTGAGGGAGGCCTGGCTGAGTGGCTGGATTGAATGTTGCTGACCATGTATTCTTGCTCTGTAGAAACTGTGGTTTTTCTGCAACAAAAATGTCTGCAAGAGTGGGATAAAATAAAAACTCTGTGCTCAGGTTCTCTAACACCATCCCACTCTGTTTCTGTCTTTATACCTGCCTGTGTCATTTTCTTCCTGTATGCTATGTGTGCTGAATATCTCCCTCTGTACACTGTGCTCCTGTCTCCCTATCTGTGTTATCTTTCTGAATGTATTTTTGTTTCTCCTCATTTTGTCCTCCTGCAGACCTAACATGGAGAACACCGGTCGGGTCAGCGAGTCCGGCTCGTCCATGGTTAAACATGCCCTCAACCCTGACAAAACCTTCATGCAAGTCCACTACCTCAAGGTGAGAGACTTAATCTGATAAAAGTAGCAATGGAAGGTGAAAATAGATGGTGGTGGTAGGAAGGAAACAAAGGGCTATAGAACAAATCAAACTATTTAAAAAAAATCCTTTAATGTCCTTTCAGTTCACCCACTCTTTTGTAGTTGCCATTGGAACAGCACTTGTAATGGCTATTGATGTTGCTCCAAAGTTTTTCTGTCTTTCATGGATCATGTTTTGTTGTTATTTGTCTTGTCCTTTGTCCAGGGCTACTTTCTCCTCAGGTTCTTGGCCAGTCAAGTGGGAGAGCAACAATTCATCGACTTCTTCAGATTATTTGTGAAGAGATACCACGGGCAACTCATTTTGTCTCAGGTGAGACTGTTGTATAGGAATCTCATTTTTACTTGATCAACTTAACAGAGGATCTCAGTTCTGACTCATAGCTACTTCAGAGGCTGTTAATAACATTTGAACTGTTTTAATATGACCTGTCTCTAAGGCACAATGTCCTTAAATTAATTTAAGGCTGATGTGATCTCGATTGCCAGAGTGTTATATTAGTTGAAAATGCTCCAGCAGCATTTCAGATTGATGACCGTACATCAGCTCAGCCACATATGTTTATTCTGCTGGGGCCATGAAGCTGAGTGATCACACCTGGAAGTCTCTGTGTATGTGTTCCACCTGGCTCCTGTTTCTTCAATGGCAGCTTGAGGCTTCTCACTAATAACGGAATATAACATAAACACTGTTTGTCCTTGCACTCCTTACTTGAGATCAAGTATGTCTTTCTCTTTCCTTCCCTCCTCACCTCCCTAAATACCTCAATTTTTGTCTTTTTCCTTCTTTGGGCAGGATTTCCTGCAACTGCTGCTGATTACCTTTCCTGACATGGAGAGGTATGTAAATGGATAAGAAAAATGCTTACAGTGTAATTCATGAATAATGAAAAATGCCTTGATGCATTAAATCCTCTTTGATTTGGGCTCAAGTAGTGCTAGGCTGGTTTCCAGTTCTGAACTAATTGGAGAGGCTGCTTATCAGTTTTCTGGTCAGTTTTCCTTAGCGGATGTAATTAGGCAGTACATTTAATGGCAAATACATGAGTATGTGTTGACTTGGCCTGTGCTCTTACGCTAACTTGGTCCTACTGTGGAAACGTGGCTAGCAATAGCTCCCAATGCCAATACTGTTATGAGAGAAGTCTTATCCACTCTCATATTAATTGAAGTGTAAAACGATAACTGCGCCTCCTGCTCTTCTCCTCTCCAATTTTCTCTCTCCCTTTCTGCACTTGCTTAGTCAGTCATTCAGCCCACTAGAAGAGCAAGGTTTAGGATTTGAATAGACACTCTATGCAGGGTGTGGGGGTCATATATTTTGCTCGTTCCATAGACTAAATAGTCTGAACTTAAGCATTATAAGACTAAACTCCTACACACACATAAAAAAAAATCAATACATTCATTGATTTTTGTTAGTAAGAAGTCAGTATTCCCTAAGCATTGCAGTCACTCTTTCTAATAGACACTACATTGTGTCCTCTATTACTGTTAAGGTGATTAGCCTCTAAAGTGAAAAACATGAAATAACTGGTAGAGACATGCAGTACCTCATGCTTTTAGCAGACGTAAAGCTTATTTCTGTCTACTCCTATATATGACATATTGTGTTCGTGTTAATCTTTTGTTTGCCACACAAGAGTACTTTTCTCACATAATCCTATGTAATCCTACTTTATGCTGTCTTGCTCTGGTATGTAGCAGATGTTTAGTCTTTATGTACTCTCTATGGTTTAACTTCAGATGCCAAGAAATTTCCCCGCGGTGAAGCTGTCAGCAGGGTTTTTAATTTCCAGGTTCTGGAGAAATTGGTGCTTTATTGGGAGTATTATCTCTTCTAGTACACTATAGTATAAAATAGTTTTTATGAGCTTCAATTTACTAAATACCTTGTCTGTCTATTGCTCTTCTGGTCCAGCACTTTGGCCCAACATTAAATACCTCAACAACTATTGGATGGATTGCCTTTAAATTTTGGCACAGGCATCTAAAGTCTGCACAAGATGATCCTTATCATGTTAGCATGCTATCATTAGCCTTCAGCTCAAAGCTTTGAGACATGGCCAAAAATAAACAATAACAGATGCCAAAAATCTGTGGCTATCCTACTGTCATGGATCACTGAAAGAGAAAATATACATGTCTGACATTTATGTTACTCTGGGGGCTATTTTAATTCCTGAACCAATTTTTTTTTTCTTTTTATTTATGTTTATTGACAGAGTTCTGATGGGCACTAATGTGTGTGCTAGTGTGGTTTAATTTACATTCTGTTGTTGGAACAGCATATAAAACTAAATAAATATGTAAAATTTGTGTATAAAAATGATTCATGGAGATAGAACATTAAAAGAAAGGTGTGTTCACTGAGTCCCCCTGATCTACATATTTTGAGCTTTAGTTAGAAGAGTGTGACTAGGAGAAAATGGATAGAAATGACCTTACAAATAGTTCTTTTTCCAAAATAAGCCATATACGGGGCTAAACAGTATAACAGATATACAGTAATAGTTTAAGTACAGGTGGGCAGGGTTGATGATGATTGATTTAAATTGACTGGGAGGGAGGGTATGATACATACACACTGCAACTTCATGCTGAAAGTTGGGTTGAATGTTTATGGGCCATTTCTGTCACTGTGTGTGTTCTGTGTGTGGCTCATAACCATTTCATGTGGAAACCATCAGCTTTGGCCCGCCTCCACTATACACACACACATACATGCACATGCTTGCTTACTGTAGGCCTGAATGCTTGTCCTGCTATATAAAAGTGGGAGTGGCCCTTTTTGTTTAAGATGTTGGCCTAAACCTTGAGTCTGCCTTGAATCTAACAATATTTTCCCACACCCATGTTGTCATAGGCTGTCTTGGGCAATAACAGTCATTGCTATAATAGGAATAATACTAACACTGGTGCCATTGTGTTTCAGAAAAGACCTCACCCTCAATGCTATTTATGCTGACTGGCTTGATCGGCCGGGAATTCCAAAGGTATGATGAATCTCTTTCTGTCTTGTTTTCTTTTTAAAATGTCTCAAATATAGAATTTAATTATGTTGCCTTTTGTGTTCAATAATGTCCCAGTGATGATTGAAACTGAAAGAAACCAGAGGCCTGTGTTTTGGGTGATCTTCTCATGCCTGACTCATGCGTGCATGGGCTGTTAATTTTAAAGTTTTTGTCACTAGACTTGCTTGTGGTTATGGAAAAGATTGGTTGTTTTAAGTCTTTGTATGAACTGGCTGATGATCTCTAGTTTTTCTCAGTTTAAGGCACCCAGACCACTGCCGTATGCTGTTACTGTCATTGTTTTACTTTTATATTTTAGTTTGCTCTTCCTTCTTCCTAGTTTTTCTCTCCTGCTGTTCTTAGCATTCAGTGATCATGTTGTGTTAACGGACAACTGCAGTAACATTTGACAACCTGATTGGCTTCACTGCACAAACCACAGCCCTATTAGCTGGATTTGAAAGCCACATGCCAAGAATCATCCTGACTACGGATATCTGAAGGTTATGGTCTTTAATAATGAAGCAGTATGAGATCATTTCATCAACTACACTTCACCATAGTTTAAGATCTGATGTTAGGATCAAAGCCAGCAGTGTTAATGTAGTTTAAGCATTTTTTCTTGGATGACAGTAGTGACATCACATCTGTCTGAGCCTTGAACAACCGTAGACAGCAGTGTAATGATGCACTCATAATGAAAGTTATGTGTCACATTAGAAGTAAATAGCTGTCAGAATATAAGTACTACAGCTTAAATGGCATGAGACTATAGCTAGTAGGCATTTTGAAACAGCTAGACAGTGGCGGCGTTGTGTTTAACATGTTTGTTGTTGAATTTCTCAAGTTGGTTTCACAAAAGGTTATGAACTTAATTCCACACGTAAGGCATCGCCGGCAGTTTAGTAGACGCAGCCAGTTCTTGAAAAAGCTAATTGTGCAGCTCATGTTATCATTGTGCTGTTGAATCATAATCATCGACTATATTACCACACGATTACTGTATCTTGACAAGGTGAGCAGTGCTGCTCTTCCTCTGCCCTTTAATCGAGAAAGACCCACGGTCATGGATTGCAAGGCTACACACACGCACGCACACACACATGCACATACAATCAATCCACTTTAAACAGCTTCAATTCTCCCATCTCTATGGTAACAGGTCTTAATTACCACTGTGTGCATGTGTGTTTTTGTGTGTCTGTTCTTGTGTTGCTGTCTGGGAACGTTCACCTTCTAGATTATGTGATGATGTAACTGGAGTCTTTCAGGGGCCCCTGAGGGTGGAAAGGACAGTGTGCAGGGTCTGCTGTTTTCTCACACCTGATTGGGTGATGGCTAGAGTGACCTGCAGAGGCTTTTTTTGTGCTTGAAGTGCCAGTCATCAGCTAATAAAATCAGGTAGATCGATTGAAACCTTTTACAAGTGCAAGTGCTTGTGTGTTATGTACTGTACAGTAGACAAACACATGTTTAAATCTCTCTCTGTCTGCCACTGTTTTTCCCTGTTTCTTTCTTTCTGAGCTCTCTGCCTATCATCTGTCACTCGAACATGTACTTGAATTGGAGAAAGGAAGGAAATGGTTTGGCCTAATAATAAACAATGACATTCACCAATCCCAGAGTAAGAGATGTGGAATGGGAAGGCCAGCCTATTTTAGTCCTCTGAGTTTAGATGAGTAAGCACTCCCTTTGGGATGATGGATCTGGGCTGAGCTACTTTGTTTAAAGAAAGACTAGCCTTGATTGACCAGAGCTTTCAGCTTGACTCTTTCTTCCACTGTAACTCCTTCAGCTGACATTAATGTTTTATGTGGGTCTTTTTCTGCCAGGTTATCAATAAAAGCCTTTTTGCTACTGATCATCACAGACTGATATATTTAAACAGCTCATAGGAGGTTGAGTTCATTGGACTTGAGCACCTACACTGTTTTACCAGGCAGAAATTGGCTTTGGATTTACGTTGGTGTAACAGGTCTGAGCAGCTATAAATCAGAAAAAAGACTTTCAATCAGATGATCAGATTTATAGTCTGAAAGGTTGCTGTTTGTTTTAGGGCGGCATTAAATAATATGGGGAAAGTGTCTGTGCTGTACCAATTAGGATCCAAAAAGCTTTTAATCAAGTTGGTACTGTAGCAATACCAACATGCTAAAAATATTTTTAAGGATATTCAAGAAAAAAAAAATCTAATAAAAACTTCCCTCAGAAACTTCACGTATTACTAATTTAAGATGAATGAGGAATGTGTGCGTTGTGTGTGTGTGTTTTGTGAGAGATAGGTGTAACTTGTGAACTTCTACACACAATCTATTAGTGTTTCAGAAGAGAGACACCACAGACGGGGGAGCGGGACGAAGAGAGTGTCTGAAGTAGACAAAAGCCTTGCTATTCAGGGAATGGTAGTGGGGATCTAGGCAGCAAAAGAGCTATGTGTGGTATCCTGTTATACAATGCCAATTTACTGCTTCAACACTCACTACATTCTATACAGCCCACTCTTACAGCTCCCGCTCTCTGTACATTTCTATGTCTGCCTCACTCCCTCCGTCCTCGGCTTCTACACACACCTTCTGTTTCTATGCCGTGCCTGCTGGACTACTTTTGTGTAATGCTAGAGATTTACTGAGGCATGCAGTTGTAGTACTGAACTTCAGTTATGTTAACACTCAGAGATGAAACACTGTGTGTGTGCGCCCACACAAGGCAACATCTGTGCATCATGGATTGTATGAATATGATGTGGCACTGCTACAACTCGTCTGTCAGTGTGTGTGAGTGGTGTGACGTTACAAAACACCTTGATTTCATGCACTCCTGTCCGTCCCCTTGTTTTCCCCACCACCACAGACACACATCTCTCACTGTCATTGTCCTGATGTGTGATTTACATCATTCGATCAGTGGTTCTGCTGAAAGCTTTAATAAGGTTAGAGAGTAAGTGCTGTGCATTAGCCCGATCTGTGTGTGTGTGTGTGTGTGTGTGTATGTGTTTGCTTCCATGGCTCTGTGTTTGTGTGTAAAGGTGGAGGAGTGGATGTGTAGAGGACTGAGGTGACTGTCTGTTCAGTGATTGCTACTAATTCAGGTGGGTTTTTACCTCCTCCTCCTCCTCTTTTATTCTCTGTTCTCCATTCTTCCTCCTTTCTCTCATCCTCCTGACTCAAGACGCGAGTTTCTGTCAGAGGAACAAGTGATCGCACTCCCACCTCCTCCCTCTCCTCCCACCTCTCTTCTCTCCCTCCCCTTCCTGCTTTCCGTGAGCTCTCTCTCTCTCTCTCTCTCTCTCTCTCTGCCTCTGCAAAGCATTCCACTCTGTCCTGATCACTTGCCCCCGGCTCACTGCTTTCTCTTCTTTTCTGTTGTTCAGTGGCTTTGTGAAAGGAGCGCCGTGTGGTCAAAGACAAGGCTGGTGGAAGAAGTCAAAGCAGAGGTAAGCGCTCTCTCCCCTCCTCTTCTCTTATTTTCTTCTTGTCTTCGGGGAGTGGCGGACAGACTCTGGCATTTCTCAGAATTGACATATTGCACCTTGATATGATTGTCATTTGATTCCCATCACTCTCTTTTCCTGCACTCAGTTATTCTGCCACTATTTCTCTTTCCTGCTTCTTCTCTGTTTCTCCCTTCTCTGCTCATTTACACGTTCCGTTTCACAATGTTTGATACCATCTCTTATCGCTGCCTCGCATGCACTCAATCTACCTCTTTTGCTCATTTGCTCCCTGTATCAGTCTCTCCCTCTGCCTGTCTCTGAGTGAAGTGCGGCACACAGCGCTGTACATCTGTTGCGTGTCATTCTGTGCTGCCTATCAGGACCATAAAGGTTCAGTGTTGTTGTTAATTGTTTTGCCTATATTTTTCAATCCCCCGTTTATCTCTTTGTTAAAATAAATTGGAATGAACAGAATTTGGTCACATGTAATATGGATACCGTAAAACAGACAGAACGTTACATCTTTGAAATGACTTGTCCACTTTATATGCCATTTCAATGCTTGGAAACCTCACCTGTGTAATATTTAAATTACCACAGTGCTTGTCTTCGGTTGTTATACATTGAAACTGAGAGGAAGAGTCACTGAGGGGAGACAGAGTTTGGCCTTGATAGTGATTGGCTGTTTAATACAGATCTATGGTGTAGGGAGTTGCTGCGCTCCAGGCTCCATCACAGCTGTATACTTTAACTATTACTCTTTTGTCTCAGCTGTCTGTTTGTGTTGGTTATATTTGGAGCACAAGTGAGCCTAAGGTTGGAATTCATTTGTGTCAAGGATTGTAAGGGCTCACCAAGAGTGTGTGCCTTTCCACTTGAGAGATGGAAAGTGTGCCTTAAGTCTGTTAATATTTACTATTGGATGTGACCACTCACTTTTTCTCTTACACCATTTCTTGGTCCTTCCTCTTTCTCTGTCATTGCTACCCTTTTATGATTACCTCTCTATGCTCTCCACTTTCTCTTTCTCCTTCACGCTCTCATCCCTCTCCCTTGCTCAAAACCTGGTACTTTGTTCTCTCTCTCTCTACCTCCTCTCTCTCTTCTCTTTCCC